CATTAGGGGCGTTTTAATAAAAAAAACATCGCAAATCATGCAAATTTAGCAATTTTAAACAAGTATACTAAAAAAAGAAATGCTCAGCGATGCAAAAGAAGGATAGATATTACTTTCCAGTATACACATCTCTGTTTATACAATCCTCCACATATTCTTCTCCCAATTATTCCTGCGTAAAATGGAATAGCCTCTTTCCATGTTGACATTCTGAGTAAAATCACGTGATAGGCTGTTACATACTCTTTCGCCGGTCTGGAAAATGTGTTTAATTAGCTCTCATTCAAGCGACAATGCATATTTCCCAGTGGGAGTGAACCTAGTTCGAATCTGCCATTAAAAATAGGGGTGTTTTCAGCAAAAAACGAATAACCCGTGAGTGCACACAATACACTGAATTTCAGAACAAATCTGCATTAGTTACAGCAGCAGAATACCACAGAAATATCAGACTATATATTGTATTTTGGCCTGAACCCTCTTTATTGTAATTCCAGGAATTACCCCCATATGTGCAACCATTTTCCACCTTGGTATCACCCAACCCTGAAAATAAATTCTTAATACCACGCTGAAGCGTTTGGTAATAATACCCAATTAACGGGCGTCAAGGAGAGCGCCACCATTTCAAACTTAAATTCTCCAATGGTGCGAAGGATGCCAAGATTGACCGTTAGGTGGCAGTATATAAGAAGGAAGCATATTCGACAGTGAAAAGTAAGGTATTCATTAAAAGTGCTGGAGATAATTCCATCGATCTAATCACACATTTTGATCGTTTGATGCGCTTTATTGTATACACTTGTAAAATGCTTGAATAAATATAGTCTAGGAATTTTTAAATAATACGCCCTCCGAATATGGCGGCATTTCAACAGAGGTGGCGCTTCGGCTAAGGTACATTTGCGATTATTCCACTTATAAAAAATACATTTACTTGCAAAATATATTGCTACAAATTTGTGAATGACGTCATGCAACGTGCCATACTGTAAGCATCACCCCAAGACTGAAGTGTTTCTGTGAGAGATTTACTATGACGAACGACTATGCAACCTAACAGTGTATTTAAGAACGACATGGCGCCATTCTTACGCCACAGAAGCGCTTCGTCAACAGAGGGCGCGACTTCTAATAGATGTGTGTAGTATTAATTTGAATGTCTCGTGAATAGTCTCTGAATAGTTGTTAAAATTAAAGTATCGATTCCCTTTTTTGGCTATTAATTTTGTTAAAGCTTATTCGATATAGGTCCATATTACGCATACAATATATGTAAGATGTAATTTTATACATGAAAACTACACCGCTTTATAATCAGCTAGTAATGTCGTTCAAAGAGAATGCGCAATGCATTATGGAACCCGCTCAAACTAACTCTCTTATGAGGTGATAGCATTCCTCGTGCCATTTTATGCATTTAATTCACTTTATGCAGTTTTCATTATCTTTAGTATTTTTTAAAGGTTTGATTCAAAATCCAAATAAACTGCTTTCAAACGTTAATGAAATTAAAACGTTAAATAATGGCAAGTGTTCACAGCCTCATTCTAGATTTGAACCAATCACACGTAAGTGTATCGTTCATCGTCAGTAACGTCATCGAAAAGGTCTGCATCCGATGTTATGCACAGGCTGCTTCTTGGTGACGACACTGTTGAAAGTACACCGTTGTTGGAGAACAATGACCCAGAGCTCGATTGACTGTTGCGTGTCACGGACGTGAATGTACTACAATCGCTGTGAACTGAAGATGGACGCCGGGAGGTACCACTTTTTGAGTCGCTGTGATATGAATACCGCTGGTGCCACGACAGAGGACGACTTCTTTTTCTCCGTGGAACTGCCACCACCGTCTCTTCTGCATTTTCGTCAGTTGACGTGCAATCGGCGCCAGCATTGCTGATACCTGTCACTGGTTCCTCGGTACGAATTGGGCTGAAGACTTGATTAGTGGTTCTTCCTTGGAGTTCAGGAAATCGATTATTCTCCCAATCATCGCTAGAGGGCGAACTTAATAATCTATACATATCTTGTCGTAGTGATCCACTGGAGTAACCGGCATCCTTATCATCTTGTGTGGACGATGTAGTCAGCTCTTCTGAACTAGCTGACAAATTACGTCTACATGACTGCATCACCCAACTTGAAATGGCCTTCTTCTGTTGATCAGCATAAAGTTGTTCATTTCCTATATCAATGCCCATCACTAGAGGGCCTCCTATATCAGTCTCTACAAGCTCAAGTTTCATTGGTTCCCTTTTTACAGAAGACCTTTGACATGGCGCTGATGAATTTTGGTGTAAAGGTACCTTGTTATATGCTGCTTCTGATAAATGTATCATTTTCTTGTTTTTGTCCTTTCTTGTGATATTAATAGTTTCAGGAAGAACTTTAACACCGTATTTGAGGTGAGATCGAACTTTAGATGTTTGTGGTAATGTATGTGATGCTTCTTGACGCTGGACTGCACGTGAACCTCTGACCTCTGACTCCGGCGAACCCAATGACGGGAATTGTGTGTCATCGATATTCATGTTAGGAGTAATGTTTACAGTGTCCTTAGAAAAGAGATTAAAACCATCGTCAGCATTTTTCATTGATGTTTTCTGTTTTTTCCAAGATGGGACAGGATGTAATTCTGCTGAAATGACATGCACATTGTTTGTGAATTCAGATTTGTTTAGAAACAGTTCATCTTCAAATCTCCTGTCTGGCGTTCTGAAAGATGTGCTGTATTGGTCTTTGATGATTCTGCCTTCACGTCTAGGAGCAACGTCATACAGTGAATATACGTCATACTCACGAGGTGGTGAGGTCATGTGACCACGAACGTCAGGGGGAAAGAAGGTTGCACCTTGTGGTGCATTGCTACTGATCTGACTGACTGCTACACGTGATGTGATCAACTGTGGTGCGACTGGAGTCGATGTCATTGGTGTAGGCTGTTCCGAGTGGTTGCTATTGTAACCAACATCAGGTGGGGATATGTGTTGTTTCTTTTTCATCAGATAGCAAGTACATCGTGAGTCATTGTTATTAACTGCTACACAGTTGCTTTCCGGCTCATGCTTTGCTGAACTGCCTTGTCGTGGAGGAGGAACCGGTTTATTCCGTACCTTGCGTTTAGGATCACGTGGGGACGGAGGCGCGTCTGGTTTTCTAATTTCTGGAACTTCATTTGTGACAGATGAAGCAGATGAATATGATATATCTCCACGCTGGTTTGAATTCCTTATGTCAACTGATGGACTGGAATTACTCTGCATGGTTTGCTTCTGCTGGCCCGCTGTATGTGCCTGTCCAGCTTCATCTTGATTAGATAGGAGGGGTAGTTGCAGAAGTCGAGCGCGCCCCCTGGAGGTGGAAGTTGCTTCTTTCATTGCCAGTTCTATTTGCTCATTTATCTTGCGGTTATTAATTTTAGATGCGTGTCCTCGCTTATTGAGTATGCGTGCAGCGTCCTCTTGAGATAGGTTTTGAGAAGGAGCTGATTCCTTGGGTTGATGAGAGTGGGGCAATTTGCTATCACTGATGGTGTCCTGGTTATAATTATGTTGCTGTGTGTTGTGGTGATCCTGTTGTGAAGGTTGCTCTTGTAGCTCATATTGTTCAATTTTCTTTTCTTGTTGTTGTTTTCGTTGTTCTTCCTTCTGTTTATTTTCCTTCGCTTCCTTGTTTATTTCTTTATGTGGGTGTATTTGGTCTTGCCACTTGCTGAGAAGAGGTTTGAAAGACGGACCTTTATCTTTTGATCTTTTATGTTTACGCTTCTTGTTTTCTGTAAAACATAATACGGAACTTGTAGGGTAAGTATTGTTAAAGCGCGGCAGTCGTCGCGCTGCGCATGTGCGACATTTGTATTGATAAATATTGATTTTCCCACAATCCAATGCGCTCTTCAAATGGAAATCACAAGTATGAGCTTTGACCTGGGGGCGATTTGCACTGATTACCGCCGGTGACTCTTTCGACACCTTCCAATCACATGACAATTACCTAATTAAAGCTTGAAAACGTCTCAGTTCGTACTCGTTGTTCTGTGCAACAGTCAAAGTCGACATCTTTGTTTATATGAGACCCATAAATCTCGCACATGCGCAGCGAGACGACCACCGTGCTTTAAGTCAGTGCAGTGCAGTGTAGTGCAGTGTAGTGTAGTGTAGTGTAGTGTAGTGTAGTGTAGTGTAGTGTAGTGTAGTGTAGTGTAGTGTAGTGTAGTGTAATGTAAATATAATTTATTCAGTACCAAAATTGTAATGTACTACAGTGTGGCTTAATGCAGTTTCATGTTTTAATTGATGTGGATTTATAAGGTAGTATGATCAGTGGAGTGGAGTGTATGATGGTGTGAAATAGTGATCTGTGAAGTACCGAATATGTCGCTTGGCACTCACTTTTCTTTTTTGGACTAGGATCGGTTCCTAATGCAAAATGCATTCGTGCTCTCGTCTCTCGTTTCCTCTTTGGTCTTTTGATCGCCCTTGCTATGTAAAATATACTAAATGATGCGAGAATGAGAAGAGGTGACGTGCCTGATTTTAAGAAAGAAATGAAAGTAATGTATTAATATCTTAACATTACGGAAAAGATGGCTTACAATTCGGGTACATAAGAAATCACGCACATGTATGGCACAACGATCACTACTCTTTAAATTGTATTCTACCGCCTGGTTGACAAAAAGAAGAAAAGTGGTGGACTGTCTTGTACTACGTCTTGAAACATGACAATTAAAAAAAAAAGATACAAGTTAAGATATAATTTGCTTAAAAAGGAATATTTAATCTAACTAAGTGCGTCGAGTTATAAATGAGCTGTGGGCATTAATCATTCACAGTTTATATTTCAAGAAATACAAGAATTCTTGAATTTGAATGACAAAAACCTTTTCAGAGAATATGGAAATATGTTTTTCTCCACCAACGATTGCACAGTTCACCTCTAAATGTACACATTGTGTAAACGTGTCTGGTGAATATTTTACGTCGTGTGCCCAGGTCTTAAAAAAATAAATGAATTCTTAAATTATTTAAAACTTAAATTTCCGCCAAGTTGTATAAAATTGTGTGATAACGATAACAAAACTATACAACAATGGCTAAATACTAGTACCTCCACCCCCGTATCATCACCTGGGGGTGTCCCGCAGCTGGGGGCGCAAGTTCCCAGCCATACGCGACGCGTGAATGACTTACCTAGTATAATAATACCAGCCAGTCGATATGAAGACTGTAATTGTGGGTGATCACTTTCCAGAAAACTTAAAACAATCATCAGACTTCCAATCAATATTCCGATTATCCCGCAAACCATCAAAGAGCCGGTTATACATCGTACTGCCGATGAGGGCTCCCATCGACTTGATGACGTGATTAAGTTCATGCGCAGTTTCAGACTCATGGTGGCGTCGATAATTTGCACACCACCTCAGTGTGGTGCGCCCCTATAAAAGAGACAGAAATAGTATATGTCGTGTTGTACGATCTCTAACATTTATAATTATCTTATTTTGATCATGAAAATTCGATAACAACTCCAGCTTATGACAACGAGAGGCGTGAAAGAGATGTGTCACGTGACTGTGAGTCGAGTTTTTAATTTAATTTTGCATATAACTAAACAACATTTTGTTGTTTATTTTGTACGGTTTGAACTATTTTATAAATGTTCCGTCTTCGTCAAATCAATCACATGGACACGGGTTTCAATGACGCAACGACCATGGTACAAACATTGACACTGACGTTAGTTTATGTACCTACATCTCACATAATAATGACGTCACTGTGAAGAGCGCCCCCTAAACAGAATCCGGCGATTATGACGATTGGTATTTGTTTTAATTACTCCTAACCTCATATAGACATAATAATAATCCAAGTCAATCTTGTGTACGTTAATTAGAGACCGAACACAATTTCACTGATGGATGAATTAAAGCGCGGTCGTCGTCGCGCAGCGCGTGTTCGAATTTCATGTAAATAAACAATGTATTTTACACGCGTTGTATACGTCGCTATGAGTCTCATATCGAACAGGACGCGGCGCGACGACTGCCGCCCTTTAATTATTTGACCACTTCAACTATTCCTGGGTCCTATTCGGCGTTAGGTTGCGTGAGTTGCGCCCTCCGCGGTACTCCAAGCCCAACACATCTATTAGGGTCTGATGCCGTTCGGCCGGCAAAGGCACAACTCAAGCCTATATGTAAGGCTAATTCGGCGTCCCCGTTTTACAAAACGATGATCAAATATGATGGAAGAAAATCTGTTAGACATTTTTCATTAAACAAAACAATAAAATATTTGATTTACTATTTTCAGAAGTCATATTTTTGAAAATAATTTAAGGCAAAAACATTTATCACTCACAGTATTTTTGTAAGTATACCTCACCACGCAAAACGTTGAGATGCAGGGTTATGTATAGCCATTTAGAACTGAAAATATTGACAAGATGGCCGACATTACTGAAGTTCTAACAAACATTGTCCCGATCATCAACACGGTGATCCCGAACTGCCAATGATTTTGAGTCAATGCACTTATTGGTTCAGAATACAACATAGTGAAATACCGAAACATAATTTTGTATTGTCAATATGATTGTTGAGTAAAGTTTTACGTTTAAAACCATATGATTCGCAATACACTCCACTGAAAGACGTGTTCCATATTAGTGGACAAAATTAGTGGACATCGTCGGTCACTGTTTTAAAGTATGTATATCATATCCGTACTACACTCGGCCTCGTATAGTGACCATGCCTCCAGCTTAATGTTCAACCCAATATTTACTCATTTATTCAAATGGCGCAGATAGCGCAGTATTTTTCACATGTACACGTATGTTATAAACAAACACATGCATGTGACCCATTCTATCAGCATTCTATCAGTAGCATGTCCTGGGATATGAGTTCGGGCGGTAGGTCAATTATGCAGCAGACCAAGCGATCTCTGCTGGGGGAAGTGTAGAAGTGCGTATTTGTTTTGATTTTGAAACAACTCTTGAATTGTAATATTACTCTGACAACCTCCGGCGATTCGGGTATGTGCGAGGTATAACAGTTTCGCCAGTTATTATCGACAACAGTGTTAATGATAAGCATAATGTGTTTTAAGAGGGTCAATGGCTCCCGTACCGCATGGCGCACCGATGTCTGTCCGTTCGTCCGTACATGTGTGTTTGTGTTGACTCTTCAAGTTTTTCATGAGCCACCAGCAGGTTTAGATGGAAACTTGGCACACAACTACCACATATTGAACACTAGATCTGATTAGACTTTAGTAAACATCCGTTCATGTAAATTAGGTTATTCGCATAACATATGCATAACATAACACGTTTATTGGATAATTCGTTTTAGCGTGTTCGCTGTGTATAGGCGTATGAGCACGAGTGATTGACGAACTTGTTCACGTTTTGCGCGGGAAGCATTCCTCTGCAATTTGAGATTGAAGACGTATCATTACTCTGTGCAGAATTGTTCGTGTGAATTTCTCAGTTTATTAGCCACCACAACAAAACTGATATGCCACCTTCATCTTAGATTGGTAGTTTGAATTGTTTTACTGTGTTGTCGTCACATAATCTCGTATGTCGTCACGCAGTGTGTGTTTCAATTTCGTGTAAATAATGAGTTTTTGCATAGCGTTATCTACGTTGCATGTTGGGATATTAAATCTCTTAAATATAAAAGGGGGTTTGCGTCGGGCATGTTTTCCTGTGTTCATTTTTAATCACGGTATTGATTGATTTTGTATCTAATTATCGATTTTTTCATTCTTCACTAACGCCCCTCCACACAGCTTAAATGAACGATACAAGTGCCACTTGACACCCTTGTGAGTTCTGTAGATTTATCAACAGTTTATGTTTTGAGTTGTGGCGTTACCGAATATATCCTTCCAAATGTTCAGACTCGACTCAGTGTATTGTGAACTGTGAACTGTTTCAACGCCATTACTTTTTCCGCCAAAATACTGGTGCAACATTCGTCAATAATTTCATGCATTTCTTTCTTAGTTGATTTTGAATCAAATTTGTATATTTTCCTGTTGCACACAGATCTAGTTTCTGAAATATGAAATACAGATTCATTTTGTGAAAAGCGGCAAAGTTTGCCTTAGTGTTTAAAAGGATATAAAGTTGTCGTCAATATATTTCATTACATGTGAATAAACGGGGTGTCGCGATCCTCTTTAAATAGGGTACAAAATAGAGCTTCGGATCCACACACTGGAGCAAAGTCTTTGGACACGCACAACTACTCACATACAAACTGTACACACAGTCCCCCTATCTATAGACTGTGTTGTACCATATACTTCTGTAACATAGCAGGTCGAAAAGTAGATACAGAAAACAACCGAAAAAAATCCCAAAACAGAACCCATGACCCGTTGGCTTGAATACACGTTAGCATATTAGTAATTTCCGTAAGTTTGTTGTCACTAGCACATTGGCAGGACGACTTTAAAGAGCGTGAAATTGAACAACGGTGTCGTTAAACGCATAGCAGCTGATATTTAGAAAGATTGTATATATCTAGTACTGAAATTTGCACTGAACTTGTAGAATATGGCGAACCACTTCGACAAAGGTGCATAGGTTCAATACTCACTTCTTTGGTGATTCAGAAGTATTTGTTCGGATTTCTAAATGCGTACACTACTTTCTCACCATGGAGGCTGATAAGTCAACAGTTTTACTGTCAGGGAGCCTTGTCTTTTCTCGGTTAAACACTGCGTAAAGACGTATAAAATTATTTACACACTGACTCCGACCATGTAGGTGACTGCTGTCTGTATTTATGTGTCGTTGCTAGCTTGGTTATGGAAATAACCTACAACTAGGAATTGTGTTCATGACAAATAAATGCCAAGCTTGTCGTAGCCAAAACATCAGACAGAGCCAGCCATGACGAAATAGTTGTTTTTATTCAATATTATTTTATTTTATTTCATACTGATTTATAATATAATTTATTGATAAGTTAAAGCGGGAGGGCCGTCACCTGCGCATGCACGGGAATTGAGTCCCAACCGACGATAACAACACACGCTGAAAACGTGACAATTTGGTAGGCAATGACACGCTATGGCCATCTGACGCATGCGCATGCCCCCCTTTCCTGTAGACATCGCGCGTTAAAATTTGCATATAACATTATCGCGTAACAAAGATTGTGATAAAGAAAAAAGTGGTATAAACAAAGATCAATGATTACTTGAAATCGATACCAGGAAGGGGGGGGGGTAAAAGAAAAGTTATATAACATTTTATAATTTAATAATTTATTAAAATACATAAGTTTGTCCAACTTCCTGTGGTCGTACCTTCCAGATGCGCGGAAATTGAGTCCTCCTTGTCCTCAGCGACGAAAACCAACTAACGCTAATAACGCGAAGGCTTCTGGGTAGACGCTTGTTTGTAAAAAAAAAAAAACAAAAAAAAAAACGACACGCTATGGCTGTCTGCCGCATGCGCAGATGACAACTCCTCCACCCTAACTATATAGTCAAGACTGTAGTGACGGAAAGTGAAACTGTAAACACTCAATCGAAAGCGTCTCGATTGAAGTAGTTCCATTTTAAATAAATTAATATGGCATATTTATAGGGTGTGGTCGTCGCATCGCATCGTGTTCGACACGGGTCCCATGCGACACATGCAACGCGTGTAAAATAAATTGATTGTTCACAAGAAATTTGAAAAAATAAAAACACGTTTATTTTGCTACGCTGCATTTCAAACGCATTAGAGCAAGAACAAATCTCATTCTTACTCTAATTATATCTGATAATTCAAGTTTTGCTAGTTCTGAAGAGCGACAATTTCACAAAAACGGTGTGCAGTAATACTATTATTTAAAGCGGGAGGGTCGTCACCTGCGCACGCGCGGGGATTGAGTCCCAAGCGACGACAACAACACACGCCAAAAACGCAAAGGCTCATGGGCATGTTCACGTTGTTTTACTCTTACTGCACAGATAACAGTCGCAGTGGATTGGTGCTGGGAATCCCGTATGTAGATAGCAAAGCTAATATTGCGCTTGAATCTGAAATTATTCTTATGAGTGATTCGGGAGATTTTTTTTCAATAAAATGCGGGTTTAATCTACCCTCCTTTATTAGATGGGATGACTAAAATAAAAATTGGTGTTTAGTTATAAAATGACTGCGGATCAGACCCTCCTACCAGTTTACGTCAGAGAGAACAACAATATTATAACCGAATTAATGCAACGTGTTCACGGTATCATGATACAAAAAAAAACGTGTATAGAGGTAATATTATTGTTTAATATAAACGTTACCATATAAAACCGAGAGTGCCTGGTACTGCATACTTATGTCGTCATGATTCCCGACAAATCCGCACAACGTGCGGGTTTTTGTTTGTGATAAATGTGTCACTTTACTGTAGAGATTAAGTCGGTAAACATTACCGACAAATTAAATTACTAGATTTATGAGTTATTTAATTATTATTTATTTTATGTCCAGGTGTGTTAGACCGTGATAAGCTAACAACAAACAACTCTCTTCTATTTTGCCAAACGCTGAGATAAGTGATAGCTATGAGTGTGTTTTTTATACACTTTTTATTTCGCTGGTGAGGGGTACAAACTTACTCAATTATATTTTGATATTTTACACATTGTGGCAAAGTACCCACAATTAAAAAAATGAAACAGACTCAACTACGCGTGAATTTGCGATACTAGTAATGTTGACCCAAGTGATTATTCACTCTAAATGTATCAGCCCGCCAAAAAGCTGTTTTCAAAATAGAGCGGGTTATGTACATTTCAGGCAACTTGAATTTGGAAAATTTCGGCATTTCATTCCGGTATTTTAACTACAAAAAAACGAGTTGTTGTTGTTGTTCTGGGTCTGTCACATGTGACTTATCCCTAACTCCCTAACTAATTTTAAAAAGTAATTTAGAATGCTTGTATTTATTAAGCGTAATAGTAAACATTTTAACCAAATTAGTATTATATAAATCATTGTACTTTTCATTAGCTCGAAGCAATTTGGAGTATTGTTCAGTTGTGTGGAACCCGTGGCAAAAATCCCACTTATAGTATAGTACATCTAGTATTTTATCAGTGTTAAATTTTTATGTCCCAAATCGTAGTTTACTTTTCATCCCTCTCAGGCTGTTTTGTCCACCGCGCTGTCGTATTGATATTTTTAAATATTTTCCACTTGTGAGATGCATGAACAATTTCAATAATTTATTGCGAAATGGTTCAGAACTTTAAATTTTAAAATTTAAAGTTTTAAATCTAAGGTACATCAGTTAATTTGTTAAAGTTAAATTCAGATATTTTAAATGTATATTTTTTTTATCGTATATGTTATTTATTGTATTTTGATGTATGTGTGAGTGAGGAGCCTGTAAATGGGACTTGTGTCCGTAGGTCTTTTCAAATAAATAGATAAATAAATAAACTCCACAAATATAGATTTATCCATATTCTTTAAAACACACGTGATAGTACGAGTGATCGATATCAGTTACGCGGTGTATGACAACCGTTGTGTCAGGTTTAGTTAAAGGGGCACCTTCCAGTTAAGCCTAATCTCACAACAAATTTACTTTCTGGATTAAAATAACAATGGATAACAAAAGATAGATTAACATTGTAAACAACATAAACAATAGTGTCCCATGATTCTTTGGTGCAATCCCTGGGATTGAGCGGTTCCCCTTTAAATATTCCGTATCGTACTATCGAGACAGAGACGTTTTACAACTTAAATTTGTTGAAATGCATGGATTTCCGTTAAAGGTCGTGACCGCTGAGTCTCACCCATTTTGAGTTGTTTTTATGTTCAGGTATGTTATTTGTTTTGAACTGTTAAAAAACGGCAATCATTAACTCGGATACAGCCAGGATCGGCTGGTTAATAAAGTTTGTGGTTTATCCATTGGAAAAAATATATATTATTCCATATGCATGATACCGCCCCTTACATTTGCGTTAACCTCGGTTTCTCGGACGCATGCAGTTACGAAGCAGAAATAAAGCTATGGCGGTGAAAATGCCCCCTGCGAGTTTGATAAGATATGTATTGAATTCACGCAAAGCACGTGAGTTTATATTGTGTGATTTCAACGCAAATCATCGTCATTTCCCGTATTTCGCTTGCGACAGTGTGGCAATGATAAATACGTGGCGTAATAACCACATCGACAAGTATCAAGATAAATCAAAAAGGCATGAAGTCTACATACGAAGCGGCGCGAACAATAGAGAAAGGGCCAATCATGCCACGAAAATCCAAAAATAAACGATTCAACGCGGACTACATAGCCCACTACATGTCAAAGTTTGGTGGGTTAATGCAGTCCCTCACTCACGGTCATCCCTGGAGCGACTTGAATGCAAACTTTCCAGCTAAGGTTTTAATATAATGAGTTACACATAGACCCTACAATATGGTTTATTATAGTGGAAATTTATAAATCACTGACCATATTATGTTCTGAATCGTGTTTGTTTTTTTTGCACACATAATATACCTTTTGAGCCGCGACATCAGTACAACTCACTATTTTGTATTGTTTTGACTATTTCAGTAACTTATATATAATGAATCAAATTTCATTTGAAAACAATAATTTGGTTGTAACAAAATATTATTTACATTTGAACAAAATAGTATTTACATTTGAACAGCTACAGATGAGCTCCGGTTTACATTTAATATTAGGATATTATAACTTATTAACTTTATTAACCGACCAGGCCCTGGTACAAGGTGTACAATTTATTGGAGTTGATGGTATCGCAAAGACGTGGCTGAAAATCCGTCAAATCTTAAATACCAGCGTTACTACATAGGATTTCTTTAAACGACATATCTCATTTTTTCCGCACATATGCGGCGTCCCCCGCGTGTTTGGTCGCTTATTTCGTGATAACGCCGGTGATGGGGATTTGAATTAATCGCTGGTTTTGTATATCATATTTAAAATCATGGCTGTTATGTGAAGCTCGGTTTTCATGTGTTAACGTTATTTACGATGCCTATAAAGAGTGTTACTTCGTAGGTCAGCAACTCAGACAAAAATCCGAAACCAAACGAAATGCAAATAACCAATTCTCACCAAGTTGTGTGCGTGGCGATGAGCACTGAGAACATCATTCGTACCGTGTCGGGCAGTTGTGAGTTGCATTGAGACACCCAACAAATATCTGGGCTGAGTTCTTCCTGTCGCTGGAATATTGAACATGCCGTTTTTAATACTAGTAAATAGCAACAATAAAATAACAACAACAACAAATATAGTTTACATTTATTTGAGTTCAAATTATTATCAGTACTAGTGTTGTATACTGTTTAGATGCATAAGTTTAATCTTACATTCCAAATAAAGGGGACTGTCCTCATGTTAGTTCCGTTCTTAATACAGGTTTGCAGCCCAACCCCATTGATTAAAACATTGTTCGTTACTCACGGGTGTCAAAATCTAAGAAGAATATTCTGCGAAGGAAAAAGTAAAGGTAAACGTTGAAAAATATGGAACCTGATGAGATCTGTATATTTACCTTTCAGCAGTTGATCAGTGAGAATAAGCCACGGGCAATTCTTTTGTGTCTGCTACACTCGCTTCACACCATGCTGGCACAAATCTCCCTGTTATGCAAAACTACTACCCAATCACATGACT